GGGGGGGGGGAGCATGTGCTGTTTTGACAAATGAAGGACTGAAAATAAGAGTTGTCCAATATTTCAAAATCAGTTCAATTTATGACTTTTTCGGCCCTTTCGAAGGCCGCTTTGATCAAATGTAAGACTTTACAATAAAAGAATGACCAGAACATCGGAATAACATCTTATTCTATTTAACACAAGAATCCTGTGACATCATTCTTGATCTTGAACACAATAACAAATGTGTCAATCTCTTACGTGATTTGTACATCGGGGAAGCAAAGCCATTGATTGGTTTCTCCTTGACAAACATGCCGTTCCTCTCCGGGTTTGATTGATGGGCCTGGATAATCTCCGTCAATTTCTGCTGCAGGGCCACAAAGTGGTGAGAAGTCTTGGCGATCTGCGGAGGACGTAGAGCAGTTGTGTGAGTGAGCTGGGGAATGAATGAACGGTGGGGAGAACTCACATGCACCTTATCAGGTGTAATAATCAAGGATAATCATACTCACGTCAACATAGTTCGCTATTTGATACTTTGGGAAATCAAGCGCCAAGTGTGTGTTTGTAAGTGACCTGTTTGGAGAAGGTCTCCAGCTGCTGGGCTTCCTTCTGCGCCGCCTGCTTGCTGGCCTTCGTCTTCTTGCGTTGCTTATAGCCTCGGAAATGACTCTGGATCTTTAACGCGGCCTCTTCCTCCCGCCATTTCTCAGCGTCACATTCCAACAGAACATCAGAGGCATCCAAAGCCTCCTGGGTTAGTTCAAGATCCACGTCGTTGGGGGATAAAGGTTTCTCGGTTGCCTCTTCTCCATCCAGGACCTCAAGGTTGTCAAATGATTCTGGCTCCACTTTGAGTTCTTCTGTCCTACTCTCGGTGGTCTTCCCTTCCTCTTCAAGTCGTTTGCGTTCCTGGTGGCCCCTGAAGTTACTCTGAAGGACCGTGGCAGCCTTGGTCTCTTCCGGGTCTGCGCTGTCCTGCTCCACGGCATCTTCGTCGGAAGTTTCCTGCTCATAGCGGTTCTTTAGGTTGCTCTTGGCTTCCTCCTGAAGCCCCTTCCTCTCCTCGTGGCTGCTGAAATTACTCTGGAGGACCGTGGCAGCTTCGGACTCCTCCTGCGAGATCGAGTCGTCTCTGTTCTCTTCGGGCGGGACTTCTTCCCCGGATGAAAACACCAGCTCATCCGCCACTTCGATGTTGTCTTCGTCGTCCGGCACCTGCGTGTGATCGCTGTCTCCGTTCTCCTCCGCTTCATACGTATCTTCATCCTCCTCCTCGGGGCTCTTGGCACCTTCCGCTTCTTCTTGGCCACGTTCGGCTTCCGGCGGTGACACGGGTGGCAGCTGCAGCTCGGATCCGGCCATGGTCTTCTTTCTCTCCTTAAACTTCTTCCTCTCCTTGTAGCCTCGGAAGTTGGTCTGCAGGACCACGGCAGCCTTGGCTTCCTCGTCTTCAGTTCGGGT